GTAGTTTTATCGTAATCACTCGTGCACTTCTATACATTTTTTTTTGCACTTCCATATAGAAAAATTTAGATTTTGTCTTTTATGAATTAGAATGGTATAATTTATAATTTTTTTTTTCTTAAAAAAAATTATGAATAAAAATAAAATATAAATTTTAAATTATGTAATTAAAAAAATATGAATTACACAATCTAAAAATTATTTTTATATTAAGAATAAAGAAAGAAATAGAGGTGCAGACAAAAACTAATCCAGTTTGACCCAAATGTGTTAAATTTTGTATTTGGGCCTGTCATTAAGCCCAAACTGTACAATTTACACTCACATACCTGAGTCCGTTCTGCTAACCTGTATTTTTAAAAAAACAATTATAAACTAATTAAAATATAATTTTAGTATAAGAATTTTGAAATATTTTGAAATATTTTTAAAACTTAAATAAAAATTAAATAATAAAAATATTTCTTCAGAATAGTAACATAATTTACTTATTAAATCATTAAAAAAACCATTTTTCCACCTTTGTCTAGCTTGTCAATAATCTTATGCTAACTTAAAGTGTTTGTCAAAATCTATTAAACCATGAAAAGATATTTAGAATTCATATGTATCATTTTTAAATAAAATATTTTTACTTATTTTATCCATTATCTATTAATATTTATTTGTTATTTTAAATTTTAAAAGTTTTATATGAGCGACACCGGATCATTGTAAAATAACTATCAATAACTATATTCAACATTCCGAATCTATGTTATAAATATAATTAAATCAAACTTTAAAAAATTCAAGAATTATATTTATTAATATCTTTTAGCTACTCATTAATGTAAAAATATATATCATATTTAAGTAATTTAATTGGGTTTTTTTTAAATTAAAATTTAAATAATTACTAACTAGAGAAAAAGATAAATTAAAAATAATACAAAACTTATTTATATTTATTTTATTATTTTTATTGCTTTTGTATTAAACACGTCTAAGTACAAACTTGTATGGTTTTTTATTAAAAAAAATCATGTGATAACAGTACTTAAGCCTAGTTAGGATGTGATGATGAAAAAAAAGTGAAAATTAGCATGGCTTAAATTTAAAAAGAGAGATTAAAATTGAGAAAACAACAAAATACAATTATATATATATCAATAAATTTTTATTTTAATATTGTTATTTTCAACTATGTTTTATTATAATAGAAACAAATAAATATTAATAATACATTTAAATGAGATATAATGCAGGAGAAATAACTATTTATGTATTTGCACAATTCTTTTCACTCACTGACTTGTTAATAGTCATCAAATTGCAGATAATTTTAAATACTTGACTCTAAATTTATGATTTCGCTTGTTTATTAGCACGAAAGTAAATTAAAAAACTCAATATAATCCTTTTAATCTCTAATATGATTTATAATAACATGTGTAAATATTTCTTTTTTTACTTTTTCATAGTTTTTTATTTTTATTTATTTTTCCTTCGTATTAAAAAAAACAGAAAATTCTTTTACATTAAACAGGTTTATTTAGGAAAATAATATTTCAGAGAACCTATTTAAAGAATTTGTCTTAAAAAGTATTATTTTGAAGAGAAAAAAATCTAAATACATCATAAACTCTTGATTCCCCTGTAACTCATTGATTGCAAGTCATATATTTGTTTTACTTAAAAATTGCAATTAAATATTTATATTTATTTTTGAATGGCTTGAATAGATTTGACAGTTACAGAAAGAGTTTGAGTATGTAGTTAGTCCCATGTGCATACATGGATTCTTTTTCTATGCTCACATTTCAATATGCAAAACCTGTCTCATTCTCATACTCACGATGGATGCTGACTTCACACCACCATTTTAGACTCCTTCGATACGTTTGAACATAAAACTATGCCACTCACTCAAAGTCATTCTCCTTCACTCCTATCATTTTAGAATAAAAAACTTTAATTTCAATCAATTTTGTTCCATAATCAAAGGGTTTTTACACTTAGTTCTTTTATTGGTTACCCTCTATCAATGGTAATGGTAAACACTAAAAAATGTTTGTGATATTGACTTTATTATGCTCTTTCATTTAGTATAAAACACTTTTTTCAGCTCTACAGATAATAAGAAATATTGCAGGAATGTTACTTCATTGTCATTTGTAATACAACACTGATATCTTAATTTTAAAATAAAAAATAAATAGAAATTTTTTACCTTATTATAAATACTCCAATGGGATTAAAGAAATTTTATCCCCCTAATTACGACACACTGTTTTTATTTGTTTTTTTTTCTTTTTTATAAGATTTTAATCTAGTTGTCCCTTACATTAATTTTCTTTTACTAAATACCTTTAACTGATTCAGCATATAAATAATAAATGCTACAAATTATATCTTTTTCTCTTATATGCTATCTAGGCATAATTCTGTCATAAGAACGAATTTTACAATTCATCCAAAAAGAAAAAAAATAATAATTGGAGGTTAAATTCGTAAAAGTAAAACATTGGAGATATAAAGTTCATTACGGCATGTTCGTCAGTCAATAATGGGCAAAAAACGATAAGTAACTTAACCCAACATCAATGTGGTTGACCAATGACATAAGGAATAGACCCAACAGTTAGAAATACCATACACATATTAATGTCATATACTAATATATGTGCTTAGGATAATTAATGTTATTAATTTTAAAATAATAAAATTATAGCTAGAAACGAAATTATTAAATATTAGAATGTTTTAAGAGATATGAATTTTAATATGTGGTTGCTAAGAAGTGTGGATGGGGCTTCACTTTGCAGTTACTTGCAAATTCCACAAATTGATAATAAGTTGTCGTATTACCAAACACGGCCCAACAAATTTGACACGTGACAAATCCTTTATGCTTGTTATCATTTATATGTTTGTTTTAATTAATCAACGGTTACTGCGTGATAGTTCAGAGCAAACTTTCATTTTTGACAGTCAAAGGAATCCATGGTTATGATTTATTAGTTTTTTTTATCATTTTTATTTTATGTACAACTAGGTCACAATTATTTATAATCATATAATAATATAGATACTTAAACTATTATATCAAAATTTAAATGATATATTGTTACAATTAGAAATTTATATAAAGATTGTTAAAATATCATTATTGTTTTTAAAGTTTAGTGATTCTTTAGGCATCTTATGTCGAGTTTGTTAAGTGCCATTTTATGAATTCAAAATAAAATAATAAATAAGATTGTTAGTATAAATATTTATCATTTAATTTTTTTTTTCCATTTTTAAACACACACAAATATAGAATATTAATATGTTTAATCATTAAAAAGTTAAATTAATATCTGAATAAGTTGAAATTTAAAAGAAAAGAATTTTAGGAAAACAAAGTCATTTTTCACGTTATAAGCATTTTTTTTATAGCCTTCTTCAGTGGAAGGTTTGTCTCCTCCAAACTCTCCTCAAGACTAGTCATGAGGTATCCCATCAATTCCAAAAATTAAAAATAGCGTTGATTGGGGGAATATTCTAAATTGATGGGGAAACTTAATTTCATCTTACTATTCTAAAATAATTACATTTTATTAATTTTATACCAAACAATTACTTTATGTGGTTAAAGTCTTCAAATGCATCTCCAAGGTATCCTCTTATTTTGAATTTTCCGTATCTCATTCGAACTCCTCTTTGTTTTCTTTCGTGTCAAATTAATTTATTTTCTTTTCTTACATTTAGAGGTGTTTGATTGTTTTATGATTTGTACCTTGCTAGGATTTGTCAATCCGATGCAAGTGCCAATTTGTTGTGATGAAATTTGTTTCGTTAAGAGAACAAAATAGGTGATGTCACCAACAATTAAAATTATTTTAGTCATCAAAATATAGAGGACAAATAAAGAGAACATAGAAAGATTATGCTAAATTATCAATTTACTCATATCTCTAGGGTTAGATTTGATTTAATTAGTCCTTATTTTTTAAAATTTAATTTAATCATTTATATGAAGAAATTGGCACGATTAATAATTTTTAAATGGTGATGATTAAAAGCAATTGCAAAATACACACTGTTCTCTAAATAGTTTTACTATATATATTGAACTTTCAATTACTTTTCCTCTTAAAAATTGAGCTTCAATCATTGTTTAGTGTAGAATTTCTTTTCTGAAAACTTATGGGTATACGTGGTATCCCTGCTCATAAAATCAAACAAATTCATCTTAGAAAATATATTGAACATATTTTCTAGAATTAACTTACAATACCTAATACAAAAAGTATTTGTATTTGTCAAATTCAAAGTTTTCGATTCCTCATTACTGGATATGAAGAAAACAAGTCATCCAAACAAACAACTCATGGATTAAATATTAAAAACACACAAGAAGACGAGGAAATTGCAAAAGCAAAGATGAGGAAATTGCAAAAGCAAGTGAGAGACTTTCAATTCACACGTTTTAATTATTGTGGCGAATTTCAAGTAACAAATGTTGTTGCATGATGATTTGTTTAAATTATTAATATATATTTTTTTTTATATATATATATATATATATATATATATATATATATATATATATATATATATATATATATATATATATATATATATATATATATATATATATATATATATATATATATATATAGCTCTGATTCTAAACCGACTGAATTACTTATTTAATTTTAAAATACTAAGAAATTAAAGTAAATTCAACCCTAATACTACATCAACAGTTTAATAAAAAAATATAATGTTAAGCACGCCCAACAATAATGAGATTATTTTAATGAGCAGAATATATGATATGATCTATTGAACAATCAGTCTAGTTAAATACCAGTTATTTGTAAACCTTCTGTGCTACTTTTATTAAATACTCATATAACATACAGAAGTAACAATAAGTTATCAGTCTGAGAAGAACATTGAATAAAAAGAATAACTGAGTTGAGATGCAAAGAAAGAAAGAAAGAAAAAGTATATATATTAATAAGAAGAAATAGAAAGAAATAAATGAAGTGAAAGAGATTTAAATTAAGTAAGGTTTGGAAGGTAAGTATTTACAGGGTGTAGAAGACAAAAATGAAGATTTAAAAAAGGTATGAAATGGTAAACCTAAGAAGTAGTGAAAAAAGAAAGAAGGGAATGATTGATTGGAAACAGAAGGTGCTCTGATACATTATGAGATTGCATAATTAACTAGTGATGATATGGAGAGGCTTCTTGAACCCGATTCTTTCTCTTGAGAAGGAAGCGTTGCAACGATTTTCTCATAGAAAGGCCACTGCCAGGGCTATACAATTGATTAGGAGATTGCAAAACTGTTGGAGAAGATGCCTCTGACCCATTTCCTGTCCTCGTTCTTTCTTCCAATTTTCCATTTGCAAGCATTAAAATAGATTTAGCCTGCACAACACCAACCCACTTACTGTTAAACTCACAAAATTCACCAATTCAATGCCTTTCTTCTTCGATAAATAAAGTGTACCAGACGGTGACTTTCAAAAAAGAAAAGCATGCCATGAATGTATTTTGGTAAACAGGTTGCGTGCAGTTTTGGAAGTCAAAAGAAGAAGTCTGTGGTGGATTATGAAGTTTCTAGGAAACTTGTTGACTCCTCCACCATTGTCACCTACCGTTTCTTTTATCCTTCTAAAAATCTTTTTGTTTTACTTCTTCTACTGTTCCACACCAAACTTGTCGGCAACCACCCTATCCCCCTTTTAAAATGTCATCACACCTTTCATGTCATTTTACATTAATAAATTATGTATACGATTTTTCCTTTTTATTCAGTAAAACAATATTAATGAATGCTGTAATAATTCCTACTATACTCCCCAAATCCGATCATCTACACTGGCTCCAATTTATTGCATGCAGATATTTATGTTTTGTATAAGGCTCTAACTACCAACAAAAGCCGATCCAATTATCTACAACACATTTTCTAGATCTGATTGCATAGGAAAAACCATAATAAACAAGAGCACGGAATGCTGAAAAAGAAATTGCAACGAACAAACATACCTGAAGCTCGGTGACATCTGCAACACAAATCTTGCCGTCGTAGAAAATTGTGAGTGGTTGTTGTTGGTGTTCCTGGCGGTGGTGGTGATGGAGCGGACTGGTTTCCGTAGCTCCTTGAACCCTTTCATAAGAAAAACAAAAAATTGAATACCGAAATGAAAGAAAAGAGAAGAAGAGAATGAAATGAATTTAGAAAATGGGTTGGTTGGCTACCTGGAGTGGTGGAGAGGGTCAGAATCGGAGGGAGGGAAAAGGGCAAGTTCCAAGTTGCAGTTTCGCCTCATGTTTGAGTTTGAAGTTAGAGAGAGAAAGCGAAGAGAATTAAGGTAGAGAATGAATGAAAGACGTATTATAAATACGTGCGAAAGCAAACATTGGACAGTATTTGTACATAAGAACACGTAAAGCACAAGGCAAAGAATTATCGGCGGGAAGAGTGAAGGATGCGGTGGAAAGGGACAGCGATCGGTGTCTTGTGTTGCATACAGTTTCAGCACGTGTTCCACGCTTTTCAAATATTTTAAATCACGTGTTATGTTATGTGTGTGTAAGTGTATGGTTGTGTGCCACCCCACACGAAACCGCTACACCACTTGTGATTCCAGCCACTGCCACGCTATCACCACCGATTCTAAAATCATTATACTCGTGCATCAAAATCAAAACCTTCGATATTACTATTTTTATAGCCCCTCCACGCATTTAACGTTGTTCTTTTACTAACGTTCCGCACTGTTTCTTCGTCATTAGCCCTATATTAATAATTAATTACACATCCACCACTGTTTCATTCTCATCTTACTATACAAATTTATAGTTTAATCAAATCCTGTTATTTATCTTTTCTTAATCATTATTAGTTCGTGTTCAGCGTGAGGAATATTCGTCTTAATTAAAATGATTGATCGGACCTGATATTTTCAAACACTATCCGTCGACAGTGACAAGAGTTCTACAATGTAATTTAAATTAGAAATATATTAAAAGTCTTATTGCTTTATTTATTATGAGAAATGTTTATTTCTAAAAATTATATTATTTTATATAATAATATTTAGAACTATTCCTTTTTTTTCTCATTATTTGTTTATAATTTAAAACCATTAATTTAGTTCACGTTCTTTTGGTGTTAGGGGCTTTGATTTATATGAATTATCCATGACAGTATGGATTGAATTTTCTTAAAAAATAATAATTATATTCTTCTAAAAGCTGTTTATACTACACTTATCCTCTTCTTTATTTAGAATATACATTTGAAGGAAAGCTGAATGCATAATACACTTGAGTTCATCCTAATATAAGTAAGATTTGTTATTTATAATGAGTTTGGTGATAGTTATGAAAAGTTTTCTTATTGCATCGTAGACGTCATTGCCTATTCCAAAAATTACAAGCGGTGTGAAAAACTTGTGAAAGTAGATTTTTTTAACATATTTTGGACCTAACTACTAGAACGGATCATACCAAATCTGAAACATAAAAGGAGCACACAACACGTGATTTTGTATCAGTTCTTTTCTCTATTGTCACGACACCTAACAGTGTATAAGTCAACGAATGCTAACTTTTGAAAAAGCTCTTTTAATGATTTTTCATTCATAACATTTATAAATTCATGTTTAAAACGAATTCAATTATTTACCATTTAAACCATTAAGCATTTGATGATTTCACTTATAACTTCATTTATGGTCAAAATCTAAAACGGACCTAAACTGGTCCAAAACCCAACATGAGTGTTTAGTATGGAAGAATTAATACTCATATTATTATTGATTTAAAGTCATTTTCTCTAATAAGAAAAAAATACATTATACTTTTATTATGTTATTCTTTCATTCTAATATGTTTCTGATAAAATGTTAAAATATTGTTTTTCTGATTACTTTTCCTTTTCTTTTTAAACAATAAAAATAATTTTATTAACTTTTACAATAATCAACTTAAATCACTCCCAATATATAATTTGAATGAGACTGTCAGGAAGTGGTCTCACAAAAATTTGCAGCTTATATACTTAAATAATATCTTTGAATCCACATCCACTTGATCCATGATAGCTAAATAATATGCTATTCATTTGTTCAAAATTTCTAAGCCAATAACATCATCTCGAAAGAGACTGAGAAAAAAAAATAAAATAAACGTGATATGAAGTAGATCCCAAAAGTTACGGCCTTTGGTTTTGACAATTTCTCGCGTTTCTAATAATAAGGGTGTGAAAAATACCAGATCTGCTAGTCACAGTTACAATCATTTATATATATATATATATATATATATGTGTGTGTGTGTGTGTGTGTGTGTGTGTGTGTATATATATATATAGAGAGAGAGAGAGAGAGAGAGAGAGATTCTGAGTTGATTAAATTAATTTCGTAGCTTAATTTTGTGATTTTTATTATACCACGTAAATTTAAGATTATTATGTTCACTAATATAGTGAAGTTGTTAAAGTGATTGTTTAATTTAATTTGATAGATATTAACTTTTTTTTTAATTTGAATTACATTGATTGAGCTCTAATGAGTATTTTTTTTTTCACTTTTGATTATGCTTTCTATTTTATCAATTACATAATTTTTTAAAGAAGATTATATTATTCATCACTTAAAGACATTTGAGACATTTAAGGTATGTTAATATCTCAAAGTTCATTAATATTTTTTTTTGTCTTAAAATTTATTATAAAAAAATATAAGATATAAGAAATTATATCAAATTCATTGATAAAATTTATATTTTATAAGAAAGACAAATTATATTTATTATGAAATATATATATATATATATATATATATATATATATATATATAAATATACAAAAATAGAATATTAATTTATAATTTTTTTCCATTAACGAAAGTTAAATTAGTTAACTTATTAGTATAATGATTTTTTTTTCTAAAATAATGAAAAACTTTCTCTACACGTGTATAAAAATTTTCATAATATGTACTATAAATTTTCATAGTTTTGACTGTATGTAGTTTTCAAATTGTTTTAAAAAAACCATTTCTTACGCACATGTATAAGCTACAGTGTCTCGTATGTTTCAATGCTTAAAAAGTTAAGCACTTTCGTAGGGATACTCTAAAATTAAGTGTCTTATTGATACTTAAAATATAAATCATTAATTTCTCTCATTTAAAACATGATTTTTAAGCACTGATATTTATACAAGTAATGCCACCTCTTTTTTAAAATCTATTAAGTAAGGTTGCTATATAACTAATTTGTATGAGCAATTGGAGATTATCTTAATTATTATTTTATTTTGAACAATATTCGGGTAGCAAGAATTATGTATTACAGCGTTATATTTTTCTTATTGTTTATACTATATTATACAATAGAAATACATGCTCCTGTAAACTTATGGTAATTTTTTTATGATAATAAAAAGTTAAAAAAAATAATTAAAAAATTGTTAATAAATATAAAAATACTAGCTGTAGAAGAAGCAAAAAATGCATAGATACAAAATTCAATTTCCATTATTTAATTGTTAATAATAAAAACTTAAAAGTTGATTAAAAATAAAATAGGGTATTTTTTAAGAAGTGGATCATAATATAAATTTAAGGTAGAATCATGATTAAAGCTGGAATGTTAGTCGGTAGAAGTGAGATGAGTGTGAGCGAGGATCTTGCCTAAATGATTTATGTCACATGTATGTTTGAGACAGTAGAAGGGATTGCTTGGGTGTTTTAGGTTATGTTATGTATTGTGAAAGAGATGGCGCAAACACGAGAGGAATAAGACAACATTGGTACGTGTTTACTAAGAAAAAGGAAAAACCATGACATTGGATTGGACATTGTCCTCTCTAGTTTACCGACTTCTTTACTTCTAAAACGTGTCGGAGCCTGTCTTCAATATTCCATTTGTAGGAACTTATATGCAAGTGGAAACCATTACCAACCAATTTGGAACTGTTTTTCACTTCAAGACAATAAATACATCTAAATTACCCTCCCATCACCTTCATATATTTTACGCTACAAAAATATCTCTACTAAAATTAATCAACTTCAGACCAATGTAACACTGCTTTTCTTCACATAGGATTTTCCTTCTGTCAACATCTCTATCTTGTTATCTTGTTTTTCTTTTGCATGTGCGTGATTCTATTTTTTGTGAAACATGAGATTATTTCGTCAACGGTGACATTTCATGTGTATTTACGAAGAATTACTTACAAGGTTCTCGGATCCTTCGTGCTGGGCTCAACCTAATTTGGTTCTTTGTTTGACAAGTCCAGTGAGTCATGGCCACCGATTGTACATCACTTTCTCACAAGTTGTACAATTTGGACACCTTTCTTTCGTTTCTTTCCGCTCATGTTATTGCCTGTGGATTACGGGATGCATGCATTAAACATATGCGTTAAATAAAATATCTTCGCTGTCAATTTTTTTAGATATATATATATATATAAATTTGGAATTATCAAATATATCAAGTATACTAAAATTAAAAAAACAAAATTACCTATATACCATTTTATATGTGTAAAAAAAGTTTGAGAGGTCAAGGCTCCTCAACCACAAACTTTGATATTTTTTATAAGATATATAGTTGAATTAATTTGTTTGACCTAAACTCTTTTACAAATTTTATTTAGATATTTTACTTTTTAATTGGTTCCTGAACTGTCTAGGTATACTATCATAGGAATGACAAGATGAATTATATAGTTCATAAAATCGGGTAAAGTTGAAAGATATTATTAAGTATTTGAATCATCTAAGTTACATCATAATATCTCAGATACAGCTAAGTAAAGGTATATGTGAGTTTTGAAGCTAATGTCTCATATTTAAATCAGACTTCTAACATAATATAAGAAACACACAAAATCTTGATAGTTTTGGTGAAACATATGTTGACTCCTGAAAAAAAAATTAAACTCATCACACTTTAACTATTTTCAATATATAATCATGAGTTTTTAAATAATGATAAATAATTGTGAAAGCATCTCCCAATTGTGTCTTGTCTTTTGGAAACTTTCCTCCTTACCAACAAACACATTTAAAACATCTTGTTATATTAGTTTTATATTTTAAAAGGTAAAATGAGAAATTATATATCTAGCTTGGAATTTCATCGAAACTCTTCATGTAAATAAAATTTATGCAATCACGCCATAATTGTCACTGTCAAGCTGCTTTAGTTAGCTAAGGATGCAAAATCTATGATGGTAATTTGTCAGTTGTTGGCATCAAGCAGCACTCAGTCACTATTAATCACTATTGCTTTGTCCCCTAACCAACAATTATGAAATCCAAGAATGTAAAATACTAAAATCTTCTCTTATCATAACCATTTCAGAGAAAAGGAAGAATGTGTTCATGTTTATTTGATTTTCTCTCCCTTTCTTCACATACATATGTCTATTCACCTGTATACAATTACAGTTAAAGTTATTATAATTTTTTTTTTTAAATTCCATAAATAATTTTCTAACTACTCATTTTCTATAAAATTTGAGCATTAATTTTTCAAATATCGAAATTAAAAAATTATTCTATTTGATCATAATATATCAAAACAACGAATTGATAGCTTTATTACACTTGGTTTTTCTACATTTCAAAGTTATAACAAGGCAAAGTCAAACACATGGTGGTGGAAATTGAAGGTTTTGGAGATAATGAATGGGGATGGAAACGGTACTTGAAAGTAGAAGGGAGATAAAGCTTATTCAAACCCTTAAATACCGATGATCATTGACATAAAGATTCAATAATATCATTAACTAATGAGTAATCCTTAAGAAATCAGGGCAATGGTGACATAATATCATTAACTAATGAGTAATCCTTAACTAGTAAAGTACACCGATAATATAAAAGAAATGGTTACTATTTTCTATGACCATGGCCACTTAGCATCTCTCCATCTAAAGCACCGGTTTAAGGAACGAACTTCATCTAAGCAACTTTGGTCGCTTTCTCTCGGTTGCAGATGCCTATTAGCATCACTAAATCCACAACACTGCAGTGTTTTATCCCGTGTCAACGCTTCCTCCTTGTATGCGGGATTGTTATATCTGGGGTGTTGGACAAAACGCACATTTTTCCACCACAGTTTTATAGCCTGTGGAAAACAAGATGGAGCAGGTTCAACATACTGAACACGGTACAACTGTCACTTCAAACATTTGGCATTTCAGACAAGAACACTTGTCTGAAAGTAAGTTAAATACTCTACACTAACAATATCCTTTTATTTCTAAGTCTATCAATGAAATATGTAATGATTTCCATTTGGCTAAACAAAGGTTGCCATACACACCAATTGATTCATATGGATATTAGAGTACCTGTTTCCAAAATTTCAGTACTTGGCCACAAATAGTTTTTTTACTATACTTGATGATTTTAGAAGTTATACTTGGATTGTTTTGCTAAAATCAAATGTAGAAGTGGGATTACATGTGCATAATTTTATTTACTTGGCTGAAAGTCAATTTGATGTAAGGGTCAAACCATTCCATACGATAATGGAGTGTTTTTATGATGGATTTGTTTCCTAAGCATGGTATAAGCGAGAGGAATGTCCAAGAGTATATCATTAGCATTTCTGTAAGTTTTTTTCCCAAGATCTGTGCACACAACCAAGTTTAAGTTAAAAACTATTTAGTGGATAACCATATTTATTATGCCAAAGCAATCATTATTCAAATCCAAAGGAGTGTGCAATTATAACCTTTTCTAAATATCAATTCTATAACTTTTCTATAATGTACAGGTTTTTATCTATCAACAGTAAAAATACAAGATTATTCAGTTAAGAGATATAAAACTATTAGATATAAAAATACATTCACAAACCTTCAAGTACTAACTCAAGCTTGTGGGAAAGTTCATGCTTGACATGGTACTATTCCTTATGATCACATGATCAACAGTTTAGTCACTATTGTCCCCTATTGTGTTTAGTACAGAGGGCCGCCTCTGATTATAAGGAGCCGCTCTCAGCAAATTTCAGCTCCAATCACAGTTCATATTTTAGTAATTTCAAGTTCGAAACTCTTCAATTGTTTGCAAAAAAAAAAAAACGTCTGACAGCATTTGCTCTAAATACTTCTTGTCATAAAAGAACGCAGCAAGAGGAAAGTATGAAAAAGAAGCTTACATGCCAATATATCCAAACTGCAACTTTATGAGGCATCAACCAAAAGAAAACTGCATGATCTAACTCTGGGGATGAACTCAACTTTTTGGCTTTCAGAGTGGCAGTAAAATAGTTTCCATGCTCAGGCTGATGAACCGAAATTGATATTGTAAGATTCTCTCCAGGATCACTTGCTTTGATATTCCAACTTCCTAGCATATCCTAGCATAGCACAGGGAGTTGCTATCAATAAAATGAGGAAAATTATAAAAAGTTATTGTGATTATATTAAAACTTAAATTTAACCTTGTAGACAAGTATTTAACGTAAACCATGATATCTAGAAAACATTGTAGTATACATAGGAAAAGTATTAGTCCAGACAGAGTCTTCATTACCATCATTTAGTTCCAGTTTCATTTCCCTAACATAGTGAACAGTGGTATATTTACTCTCTATATTCTGAGAATGACAGTATTTTATTTGCATCCTCTATAAAAAGACAAAAAACAGATAGAAGAGACGCTCAAACCGTGTCCTCTGTTCTATATAGACATAATCCAGTAAATGTAGGACATAATTTGCCTATTTACATGATACAATGTGCCTATAATTACATAGACCCTAATTAAATAAGGAAAAAAATCATAAGATATATAAAAAGAATAAATTATAGGAGATCTTTTAAGATACTCTAAAAATATTCTAAGCTACAAAAATGATATCAAATATTTGTCAGATTTTAAAACATCCTAATCTAAATACATCAGACAGTGAATTATGATAATTGTAGACCACATCATAGCATTTACTAGACCATATCCATAGGTTCTTGCCAATAACTTAATTTTTATTCTTAACAACTTTCAGTACAATTTTACCTCATAGCAAATCTGATGTATAGCAACTACATCGCAAGCATACCATGTAAACGACAGTAGTATACAGCAGACTGTGATATAATGTAACTTTATCCTTTTCTGGAACTTCCACAGGCAACATCATCTGAAGCTACTTTGGGAGCACGAATAAGAAAACACATAGAATCCAAAAGCAAAAGGTAAGCTTGCCAACTAATCAAACATTTGTCTTAGAATATAACATTCCATGTGATGTCTCCAAAAGTATACTTCTTACCCTAACTCTTCTATAAACACGGAGAAAATTTTATCTCTTGTTATTTATATCATTGGCTAAGTGCAAGTAGACTCAATCTCCAGTTCAGGAAGATGAACACCGAAGAAAAGATGCAGAACAGTGTAAATAAACCCATTCTCAACAACCACAAGAAAAAAAAAAATACAAGGGTAGAGAGGAACTGAGGTGGTAACTTTTGTTTTTTCAATCCGGATAAAATACCACAATATTGAACCAATAATTGTTAAGTGAACCATAATGTCGTGACTCCTTACTAAAGCAAAAGGAACTTACATACCATAAAAGGACTGACATGCAAAGCCTTGGCCACTAGATCAGAGTGCGGGTCAAAAACAAAAGATACTCTTTCACCCCATGGTGTATTCGTAACCTGAAAAAAAAAATTGCAGTACTATCAATACAGCAAAAATATGGTCCCAAACATCCTACTGATAGTAAGAGAACAAAGACCCTTGCACAGCAGATTCTTAATATCTACTTGGGGACATTATTTTATAGAATTGGAAAAGGTAATGAAAATTTTCATTTGAATTTCAAAATGCTTATCCCCCACTTCCATCGAAGAACAAAAAAAGTCTATTTTTTATTTACTAAAGAGTAAACTGATAAGAAATGAAGCTGCTAAAATGCTGTCAATCATGCCAACAAAAAGAACACATAAATTATAAGCCTAAACGTGTCTTATTTGAGCGAGTTGAGAAGAATTGATACTGAGAAATATAACCTGATGACTTGAGTGGGGAACAATGCATAAATTAGAAAGTCACAGATACTCAAAAAAAAATAGAGCATAAATTAGAAGAGTCACATAAACTTAAAAAGGATAACATCTTTGTCACACACCTCAGCAATGCACTTCTTCAACCGTTTAGTAGAGCCTTCAACAGCATAACAATAATACACACTCAAAGGATTCTGCTCATAACCCACACTAGGAGGGATTGTCAGGAGAAAACTGCGAAATTGGGTTCGACATGAAGCAATATCAAATCAAAACTTCCCAGCGTAGAAAAAGAAAATATCTTAGTTCCCTTAAAGATAAATTTGTCATTATTCGTGAACAAAAACAAGAAAATAAAATAAATTGAGATTTTTAAAGTTAAAATTGCAACTACTTTATAAACTCTCCGATCTAACTTCTCCTAAAGCTTATACAGATAAAGTTGATTTTAACAACAGCTCAAGCCATAAGCTATTAGTCACTGAAAACAAATTGAACGTCAAGGTGAAATTTTGCATGGCTCTAGCAAAACCCAATGGGGAAAAAATAGAAAAAAAAAATGAATTACATTGGTCCATTGGTATCGGTAATTTGGCGAGCTTCATCGGGAGAAAGATGGTCGTGAGGCGCGTGAGATGCACAGTCGAGGTCAATGAATGCGTAGCGAACCCGATATTGGAATGAATGGTTTACAGGGTGACGACGTTGGTGCCACACTGTGCCTTCGTAGAGCGATACGGATTCGTCTTCATCACTGGATAAGGAAGAAGCGGCGCGTGCGGATTCCCGCCGCCGCAGTAGCGTGTTAAAGGCAAGGATAAGGGAGAGCAGAAGAGAGGTGAGGCAAGTTGACACGATAGAGCAAAGAAGATAAAATATTTCCATTATTATTTTTTTCCAATTTTTCTTTGATTTAAAAGTCTTTTGCCAATCAGGTTTCTTCTGTCCGCCAAAGATAAACCCTTACACTTTAAATGCCACAAATAAAAAAATATATTTAAAATTTGTAATTATGTTTAAAGCCAAACAATTGGTTAATTGTTTAAAATAAATGTAGAATATAAATAAACACATGATTAATAAATCTATTTTTGTTATTAAATAGTTATATTTTTCTATAGTTATTGGTGAAAAAACATTGTCTCTCTATTTTAAAAAAGAAGAAAAAGAATAATGTTTCTTTAACAATGACAAGCATAACAATGAGTGTATTTTGTATTGGGTAAAGTGGTATACATATTGCGTAATTTGGTATGAGAAGAAAAAGAAGGATGCCCTAGTCTATATTGCGAAATATCTATAGAGCTATGTCTTATTGTAGAACAAACAATAGAATTCTCAGAAGTAATAGCAGCTGGTGAACCGAGGGGTGTGGGTGCAGGAACTATTATGACATACAAGCCATTTCTTTCTTCATCTTTCCCAATCATTTGCAGGGTTGACTTGTCTTGTATTTCACACGAAAATTCAGAAATGTTAAGTTTACAAGATAGAGATTTAGTTAACTTTGTGACCGAAATAAGATTGACAAAAAAATTAGGAACAAACAAGACATTATGTAAAGTAAGGTGTGTGCTAATTGAAATTTTGCCATAATAATGAGCAAATGAAGAGTTCTTGTTGGGTAGTGATATTGTAATTGTTGAGATTCTATGATAAGAAATAAAATGAGACAAAGAATTGGATATATGATCAGTAGCACCTGTGCCTAGAATCCATTGGGAATAGATATTACCTTGAGCCTGAGAAGAAGTGGAAGCATTATGAGAGCTCACTAGATTGGTAGAATGTGGAACTGTGGGATTAGATTGAGGAAGAAGTGTCAATAGACCATGAATTTGCTCTTGAGAAAGTCTCAGAGTTGAGGAATGTGACTGTGCTGGAGAATTATTATAAGAAGGAACTACTGTAGAAGAATTTGTTGCAACATTGTGGACTCTTTTGGATTTGAGATCAGGTGGTAATTCATGTATTAGAAAACAAGTATGAATGGTGTGGTTTGTCTTGCCACAGCGAGTGCATTGTCGAGGTGCACTAAACCTTCCCCCTGAGGAAGGAGCCTGAGAACCTTGATATGAAGATCTTCCCCGGCCATAATCATTGGCAGGAGAGGGTTTACCTCTGCCATTGAAGGTAGAAAAAGAAGGTTTAGATTGAGAAACTTGTGACACCATGACTGAGGTTGAGAAAGAATTCCTGATTATAATTGTCGCTCATATTGAATTATCATCGGAAAAAATTTTGGATAAAGAAGGTAAGGGATCCATGAGAAGGATCTGAGAGCAAACAACAAAGTAATTATCATTCAAGTCTCTAAGGAAACAAAGAACACAATCATTTTCACGATATTCCTTCATTGTCTTAGAAACAACACAACAAGAAGCATAAGATTGTCATTCAGGAATATGGCTAAAATTGCAAAGTTCATCCCATAGAATCTTCATTTTAGTGTAATATGCAGTAACACTTAGTTCAGATTGATGCATTGAATAAAGATCTTGATGCAATTGTGAAATTCTAACAGAATCACCTTGGGAGAAACGATCTTTGAGATCCTTCCATGTCGCAGCGGCAGAGTCAATCCAGATAATACTTGTAACAATCTCATGAGAAACAGAATGATTGATCCAAGATAAAACTAGATTATTGCAATATGAAACCATGGGATCTGTATCAGCTAGACAAGGAATGGAACCATCAACAAAACCAATTTTATTCTTCATTTGCAGTGTCATAGACATCGAGCGAGCTCATCCATGATAATTGTGACCTTCAAGAATCGGGGAAACAAGCACCAGTGAAGGATTCTTGTTAGGGTGAATGTAATAGTCGGGTGTTGTATCTTACAACGATACGAGAGTAACAGAGGGAGTAGCCATAGAAGGAGAAAAAAAAGGCAGAAAAACCAAGAACGAAAGGTAGAAGATGAAGATCTAGACAAGAAAAAAATTAGTTGCAAAAAAACGTGATAAAAAATTAATTTTCTTTTGATATCATGTTATGAAAAAAGAAATGATAGGAATTATATTTCTTATTCCATAATCACAATTTACATATATATATATATATAAAATTGTTTGAAACAATAAATTAAATCCGATAGATTTTATTTAGAAACAATGAACGAAATACATTTTTATGAAAGACTACATTGTGAGTGTTATCAAATTATTCCGAGGAAAAAAAATGAGCTAAACTATATAACTTTTGACTAAAATGAGTTAATCTAACCATTAATATTAAGACATAAGATCGTAACGGTAATTTGAAGTGAAACAACTTTTGAGAGATACATTATTACATTTTTTTAATGATAGTAAGAAATTGAAATCATAGTATTTAAAATAGTTATAATTAAATTATTTTTTTAAAATAAATTGTTCAGATTTAATAATTAAAATACCTCAATTGTTTATGTTAATGTTTAGATAAAACTATTTAACTTCTCTTTTAAGATAAAATTATATTTTAAAAATATTTTGATATTTTTGGTCCCAATCAATTTGTTTTGTTTTTTGTTTAGCATTAAATTGTTTTATTTTTAGTTTAAATTAACTCGTATTAATTTTTAGCTTGTATCTAGTATATTAATTCCTTTCAATTTGAGCCAATTTGACAAAACATTCGATATTGATAAATTTGATTCAAATTTTAATCCAAACTCATTGGTTTTGTCTTTTGGTTCATATCAATCCATTTTGACTTTTGTTTATTTTACTCATTTTCCCGTTTAAATTAACTTTGCTTGATTTTTGTGAATGAAATGAGAAGAGTAAATTCAAATTTCTTATAGAGATATTTGAAATCTTTTTATTTTATACATTTCAAATACCTTTCAAAACTTCTCAATTTTTTTTAAAATTATTTTATCCAAGTAAATTATTTTAATATAAATAAATTTAAATGATTTTAATAAATAAATTACTCTTTTAAATTATCTCATCAAAATAAATAATATTACTATTTTCATGAAATTGATCGTTAAACTATATTTTACTAAATCAGATTAAGTTGTTCCTCGCATAAAAAATTACATATTACAATCGAAATTATAATCTGTCGCTGTGTAAGTTAAATAAAAATATATATTTAGTAAAAAATCAGTTGATAGGAAAATTCAATTTAATGTTACCTTTTTTTCTAATAAACAACGGAAGGAATGGTAGAAGAAGCCAAATATGAGAATAAAAACCACGATAAACGTCTTCAATCTTGAATTTATCTAACATTATATTAGCTACCAAAAAAACCATTATTTAATTATATTGGATAGAAATTTCATGTCAAACGGTAACTAGGAAAATATGGTCTGTATTTTTTTGGAAACATGATATTTTAATTTGATATATGTACTTTTTATGTTATCAAGGCAAGATTTTCTTTTCACATATTTTGTAATATATCAACAAAAACAAATAAATTTTCAAAAGAAAAAATATATAATATCAGGTAAAAATTAATTAATTAAATGAAAAAGCTCTTTTGAAACGTGTTTAAAATAATCTAAAATTGGATTTAATTTAAGTCTATATATTAATCTCCAAATAAATAAATAAAACCTGGTCAAAGAGGCAGCTAAAATAAGCTTCTAAAAATTCGGTCATTAAATTCAACTCATCACTTCAGTGATGGGGTTTGGTTAGATGTGAGTGCCTTTGTCTCCAAATTCTCACTCTATATTTAGTAATTTTATTTATTTTTAAAATAAATTGACACCCCAACAACGTATTTCCTGAAAATTCGCCACCACCACATCATTCTATATTATGAGATAAGCAATGGTTAATTGAGTCATTAAAATTTTCGTTAACTGATTTCTTCGTTTTTAATGCTAAAATTTTGGTCACAGTTGCTCATTCTTCATATGATGGCATTACATAACTAAATGTAGTAAAGGTAACAAGATACTAACAAAAAAAATATACTGTTGAAAGAAAAATAAGTAAGAACATTGTAGTTATCAAAGCTACTAAATGCAAGCTTCCTTTGTCGCATTTGCGAATAATGGAAGTATTCAAAAGTCAGTTGTTTTCTGTCTCACGTTAATGGTTTCTTCATCTATTTTACAAAAAAACAGATATTATATTTTACTTCAAATATAATTACATAACATTAATAAGATATTACTTATAGTTTTAAGTCTTAATGCAATAATATAAGTTCTATGGCTTTTCTTGGTTTTTATAAAATAGTACTTCTGTTCCAGTTCTTCTTTAATGAATAATTTGGTCTTTGTAATACTAAAAAATACATATCTAAAAGGGAGTGAAAATAGTAAAAGTATATTTTAAAAAATCTATGAAAAATCATCATCTAATTATAAAATAAAATTTTAGCATAATGAATTAGAGTATAAATTGAAGATGTTAGTGATTGTTTTAGATTAGATAGATGTTGGTAGGAGAACTAAATAGAGGAAAAAAAAGTTGCATCGGTGAAGGCTAGCATAGCAACGTAAAAACATAGACACCCAACACACAAACCAAACCTTTTTTTCTCGGTTACTCCGCCGCTTCCGTCTTTTTCTTCGTCACACTCTTTCTTCCTCTTCTTATTTATATTTTTCGATTCACCCAACGGCCCTGTCCTTGCTCACTTTCTTCCAACTTCGATCTCTTCGCTCTTTCATTCATTCATTCATTCCATATTTCCATGGCCACCCTTTTCCACCCGCCTCTCACCGCATTTCCCACCTCCAACAAACTCCACCTCCCATCACCCATCTCAGGTTTCTTCCAATTCTCAATTTTCCAATCTCCCTCTTTTCTTTTTATAAGTATTTTACTTTTCCTCACTGAAATGTGTTATCTTTCGTGTTTTTTGATGATACAGCGAGGAAAGGGCAAATCTTTGTTGTCAGATCTGATGCGGGGATGAACCATCTCCTCTCAAGAGGAGCTCACCAGTCTCGGACCCAGAAGCTGCTTACTAATGCAGTTGCGGTGAGTTCTTTTCGACAATCCCGTCATTTTTTATCAGTTTAATTGAGGATTATTGAGATGTCGCGTGCATAGTGTTTGTTATAATGCTGCTAATTGGCTTCTGGGTTGTTTGCAGACTAAGCCAGATAGTTCTACATCATCAAAAGCCGGGTAAATTTCTTTCTGCTATCACTTTCTGTCACTCTTACACGCTCTTTTTTATTTAATGTTTTAAAGTAGTAGTGTCTTACAACACCATTTGCAGTGTGTCATGTGATGAAACTAAGTTGATATGTTTATCCTTTTTGGCTGGTAAATTTACTTCTTTATTTAATTTAGCTCAGTTTCTCTGTTCTGGTTATCTTCCTTCATTTACTCTTGCAAGTAATTTTGTTTGTTTTGGCTATGTACACACTTGTGCTGTGCTTGACCTCCACCTCACCACTTAAGCTGCTTTGAGAATCACTATTTGACAATACTGAAAGCTGTTAGGTTCCTAAAGTGTCACGTGCCTTTGAGGCGAGAGGTACTCTCGCGGCTTTCTCTTTCCAGCCAGAGTCTATAAGATGATAAGTTTTCATTGACTCAGTAATGCTCTTCGTTTTGATTTAGCTCGAAACAGGGAGACACCAAGAGCAGAAATTCCCCTTTTATGAACCAGATTACCCTTGTTATTAATGAAGGTTACTATTGTACTAAATGACCTTCTGGATAAGAATCCAATAGTGGAAATCCTCCTTTTATAAACTAACATACCAGAATCAGATTACTGTTGTTAGTAGTGGTTGCTATTTTACTGGGTGGCCTTCTATTTGTACATTTTTTTCTGACGTTCAAAATAAAGGAATCGAAAGCCTTCTTGGAATGGACAAAAACTTAATCCTTTCATTGTGCAAACTCACAAAGGCCCTTGCCTAGACACCAAAAGCTAAACTTGTTCATTGTCTGAATGACCAAGACGGGGAGCTTTAGGAAATGGACATCATTGGTTTTGCCTTAGCTATAACATTACCCTGGTGCTAATGCTATCATAATTAGGACAGTCTAATTCATTTTGCATAAAACCCATGTGAATTTCTTAAATTAGTTGACTTAGTTGTCACTTTCAAACTGATTGTGTTTATTTAGCCCCCAGTAAAAAGCAGAGCGCTGTTACATGTTTACTGATGATCTTTTAGGAATAGATGATAATTTTATGCGGCTGCTTTTTAGGAACAGATAATAATTTTATGTTGGCTGTTTTTATTGGTGTCATGTTTTTTTAAATAGAACGTATTTTCGCTGTACATGAAATGGGTTATAGGTGTGCATTTTACATTGAGAATGCCAGTGTATTTGCATTCATCTATAATGTAGCACAACTACTAAGAACCTCCATGGAGTCCTTGATTTTATGGTAATTTCATTGTCCTGGGTGTTTGATTTTAATGCAAAAAATAATCTCTTGTGCATTTTTCTGACTTTTTTTTAGTCCGATAAAATGCAGTCGTAAAACCAAAGTATAAGTTCGGAACTATGATAAAGGTTGGTTGGCAAGTAAAATTTACGTGACACTTAATCTTGAATCTTGGTTAATAAAGGATTGGTTGAACTTTCTAAAAGCACGCTTTGGCATATGTTGTATGTTCTTATTGCCTGTGTTAGTTGTAGAAATAGGATGAGATGGTGCCAAATGATGATGAAATTGATCAGCTATGCACTTGACTCGCAGGCATGAACTTCTCCTCTTTGAGGCCCTACGTGAAGGTTTGGAAGAAGAGATGGAGAGGGATCCTCGTGTATGTGTAATGGGTGAGGATGTCGGTCATTATGGTGGATCTTACAAAGTGACCAAGGGCCTAGCACCTAAGTTTGGGGACCTCAGGGTTTTGGACACCCCTATTGCTGAGAATGCCTTCACAGGCATGGGCATTGGAGCTGCCATGACTGGTCTGAGGCCAATTGTTGAGGGCATGAACATGGGTTTTCTACTTCTGGCATTCAACCAGATCTCCAACAACTGTGGCATGCTCCATTACACGTCTGGAGGTCAGTTTAAAATACCAATTGTTATCCGCGGACCTGGTGGAGTTGGGCGGCAACTAGGGGCCGAGCACTCACAGCGACTTGAGTCATATTTTCAGTCAATCCCTGGAATCCAGATGGTTGCCTGCTCAACTCCTTACAATGCCAAGGGCTTGATGAAAGCTGCTATCAGAAGCGAGAACCCTGTGATACTTTTTGAGCATGTGTTGCTTTATAACCTCAAGGAGAGAATTCCTGATGAGGAGTATGTATTATCACTTGAAGAAGCTGAAATGGTTAGGCCTGGGGAACATGTCACAATTTTAACCTATTCCAGAATGAGGTATCATGTCATGCAAGCTGCCAAGACATTGGTGAACAAAGGGTACGATCCTGAAGTAATTGACATAAGATCTTTGAAACCATTTGACCTTCACACAATTGGAAATTCAGTGAAGAAAACTCATCGCGTGTTAATTGTTGAAGAGTGTATGCGCACAGGTGGAATTGGGGCTAGTTTGACAGCTGCTATTACTGAAAATTTCAATGATTATTTGGATGCTCCTATCATATGTTTATCCTCTCAGGATGTGCCAACGCCATATGCAGGGACATTGGAGGAATGGACTGTGGTTCAACCTACTCAGATTGTCGCAGCAGTCGAGCAGCTCTGCCAGTAATTGATGAAAAAACAGTCCTAATAAGGATATGGTTTTGGTAAAGCTATAGCTTGAACCTGCTTTACAAATTTCCCATTTCCTTTTTTATTTCTCTTCCAAGTGCCCCCATGACCTAAACCTTTTTAATTTAATTTTGGATAAGCTTTTGTATTTTTTTTCATAAAACATTTACAATTCTCACCCAATCTAGTTCATCTGCATCATTATAGTGGTTACGATCTTGTTGTTAGGCCAAGAACCTCGTATTTGTAGTATGTGTTGAACCGACCACAAATTCTTATTGTAGGCCTATTTTGTAAGAGTGATATTATTCATACAACATACTGTTGACATTTTTCTCTCACTATCGACGTTCATCAAATTGCCTATCCTATCATACACGTCTCTCTATTCTTTGTATAAATTGTTGTTAGGAGTCAGAGAACAACTATTACTTCTCATTTTGAAACCACTTTTATGGATGAATCGGTTTGTTTTTTTGGTTGTTGTGACGTTAATCGAAGTTTGTAAATGATTCGGTTTTGTAAGTTAAAGAAAAAAAACAAATTATCAAATTTTGAACTCAAACCATAACGAAAGATTAACCACTTTATCTTTCATTTTTTTCGATTGGTGATGGTCTTTGATGAGTGATAATAGAGTTAGTAATAACGACAATGATAACCATGGATGTGGTGATAATAGAAATTATGACAATGAAGATGAACGTGTACATGATATAGGACATGGTGGTAACAGTAGTTTTTACGGTATATGTTTTATGATGGAAATTCATCTAGTAAGTAGTATATATTTTAATTGAATATACAATATTAATGGCTTGTTGCCAACCTTCTAATCTAGAAAAAAACAAAAACTACTGAAGTAGCAAGGATGTTGCGAATTTGGGTGGGGCGACACGCATTGAAGTAGTGGGTGGTGTCGTGGTAGACAAATGTCATACGGGATTTGTTTGGTACACCTTGTCTTTTATGAGTGCCCAATTAAGAGATTATCTAACCATATACCTCAACAATATTAAAAAAGAATATGATAAAACGTGAAATATTTAATGTTGAAATGGTCATACAATTCAATAACAAAACATGTATTAAAAGTTATCTTTCTTGAGAGTAACCGGAAATCCCTAAAGTTGCTTGCTAAAATAACATGTGTACAAGGTATTTTAATTTTAAAATTTGATGTATTAAAATTGAAATAAAAAATAAAAAATGTATCAGGTGATTAATAAGGTAAACAGTCAAAACAACCATACAGATTCTCTCTCTTGAAAATGTGATTAGTTGAGAAATACCTGCCAATTGAACACAATTTAGTTCTTGTTAGGAAAATATAGTAAGTTAAGAAATTAAAGAAAAGAGTGTAGTATTTAACTTTAACCAATTAAACCTATTTTTTTCCAATTTAAGATAACTCAATCAAATATTTTCAGGAAAGAGAATATTTTTATAAGAAGTTTAATATTTAATTTGTCAACTCATATCCACTATAACTTTTTGATTAAAACATGGTAGTTATTAATTTCTTAAACAAGACTAGAAGAACAATGGCTTGGAAGCTTTATATTTTGTTTGATATATGGTGAGAAAGTTGGAGCAAGGACATAAATAAGATGCATGATTAGCTTGAATGAACGCGTGAAGCAGTTCAAGTTTAGATGAGTAGAGATTAATCTGTCTGTCCGCACTGTTTAGCTTTTTCTCAATAGCGATGAATAGAATAAAAGGTTTGACACACCCTGAAACAGTAGAGCGTGGTGCCCACAGCCATTCCATGTTGTTGCTGTGCATTTTTTGTGTGGCGTGTGAAGCCAACAACCCCAAAAGCGCGTGGTTTTGTCTGCATGAATCTGCACTACTGGCTTCATGTTTGCCACACAATAATCAAATCTTTCTTTGATCACAACAATCACAAGAACGGGTCATCCTCTTCTTCTCTTTATCCCTATATTCTTGTGCCAAAAAGCAAAGTCTGTCCCTCAATCTCATCTTCTCTTTCTCCCCCAACCTCTTTACTACTTTCTTGGTTTTCTCTTATAAGTTTTTGTTTTTTGTCCACTTCATTTTTCCATTGTTTGTTTGGCTCCAGTGTTTCTTACCACCTTCATAAATTGGGGTTCTTTATCTTAATAAGATATTTTAGGGGTAATCGCTAGCTGGCTTTTTTGTTCTGGTCTTCTGCTCTGGAATTTCGTATATTGTTGAGATTTTTATCTGCTGTCTCTGAGGTGTTGTTTCTGGTGGGCCTTGAATAGGGAAATCTGTGGCTGGTGCAAATTAAGACTTTTGGGGTTACCTAAAGTTAAAATCTTGATGAATCTCATTTGATAAAGGTGTTGGCTTTTGATGAAGAGGGCATGGCTCCATATTTGTGATGTGTGAAATACTTTTATAAAGTTGGAGATTTTAAGGAGGAGAATTTTGTTTTAGTTGCATCCTACATCAGCTTTTAGATAATTGTGGAGGAGGAATTGGTGCTTCTTCTCTTTATTGGGGAATTGATTTGGGGGATTCCTTTTATTTGTCCCAAAAATCTGAGGGAATCACTTGAAGTAACTTTGGAATAGGTTCTTAACCTCCGGATTGAAATTGGGTGTCACTATTTGGTTGGATATTGTTCCAACCCATTTGAGAACACAAAAGCACGAACTGGAAGTTTGCTAATCAGAGAGAAGGTAAAGTTGTAGTATTTAACAGGGGTTTTATAGCTGCATATTTGAGATTTAAAGATGCAGCGTGTTAGATTTTCTTCTCAACAGTCAGCAGTACACAAACTAGGGGATCCTCAAATGGCATTATCTCCCAAGTTTAGGTTAGCGGCGGTGCAATCTTCTTTGGCAAATCCATCACCAGAGTTAGAGCATTCTCTAAGAGAGGAACCCTTAATTCCCAGCCTTCCTGATGATGTTGCTCTGAATTGTCTTCTCCGGATTCCAGTTCAGAGTCACTCAGCTTGTAGAGCTGTCTGCAAGAGGTGGCATATGCTACTTGGTAACAAAGAGAGGTTTTTCACCAACAGGAAGCAATTTGGTCTGAAAGACCCTTGGCTTTTTGTATTTGCCTACCACAAGTGCACTGGGAAGATCCAATGGCAGGTCCTTGACCTCACACACTTTTCTTGGCACACTATCCCTGCAATGCCTTGTAGAGACAGGGTTTGCCCTCATGGTTTTAGGTGTGTTTCGATCCCCAGTGATGGCACGCTGTATGTTTGTGGTGGCATGGTCTCTGATGTGGATTGCCCTCTTGACCTGGTGTTGAAATATGAGATGCAGAAGAATAGGTGGACTGTGAAGAATAGGATGATCACTGCTAGGTCCTTTTTTGCTAGTGGAGTCATCGATGGGATGATTTATGTAGCTGGGGGAAATAGTACTGATCTTTATGAGCTGGATTCTGCTGAGGTGTTGGATCCTCTCAATGGGAGTTGGCGCCCTATTGCCAACATGGGAACAAATATGGCATCTTATGATGCTGCTGTTCTCAATGGGAAACTTCTTGTCACAGAAGGGTGGTTGTGGCCTTTTTATGTCTCTCCAAGAGGCCAGGTCTATGATCCTAGAGCCAATAACTGGGAAAATATGGCTGTTGGACTCAGAGAAGGCTGGACTGGCTCCAGTGTTGTTGTTTACGGTCATTTGTTTGTTGTTTCTGAGCTTGAAAGAATGAAGCTAAAGGTATATGAACCCGAAACTGATTCCTGGGAAGCCATAGAAGGGCCTCCTCTGCCTGAGCAAATATGCAAGCCTTTTGCTGTGAGTGCTTGTGATTGTCATATTTATGTTGTGGGTCGAAATCTTCTGGTTGCTGTTGGCCATATCTCTAGACTGAAACCAAAAGAAAGTTGTAAGGAAAAGTGGAACTTCGGTGTTCGATGGAATGTAATTGATGCGCCAGAATGTTTGTCTGATCTGACTCCTTCAAGCTCACAGGTGCTGTTTGCTTAGTTTTTCATTATCCTGTAATATCATGCTACGAATGTTGTATGAATAAAATGTTAGTACTATAATTATTGTAAGGTCTAAAAGTTGTAATAGCTGTGAAAAAGGAACAGTTTAATCAGTTTTTGAATTGTATCAGTGGTAGTATTTTCTTATGGTTGCTTGGGCAGTGTTAATTGTACATCAATATTTACATTGATATTTTCTCCTTAGTGGATGTCTTTATAAATTACATTCCCAGAATCAGAAGTTCTAGTTTTATTTGTCTCCAAAACCGTATCAGATGCAATCTTTGAAAGGATAGAAGCAGAATAATACTTGTTTGTATAAAGCCTTTTTTTATTTCTCAATGCTTCAGTTGCTCTACCTAACCATAAAAAATCAAAGTGGTGGATCCTGAGGCTCTGTAATATAATATAGTATTAGAATCAATTTGGATAAACTTCACTATAAAAGTATATAGGAGAAGAAAATAAGTTAAAATAAAATTAGCTTATTTATAAGCTAAATTTAAAATTTTTAAAGAGCTTCATCTGACAATCCGGTTCTTTAATATTGTTCAGTTGACTTAAACAGAGTTCAAAACTTACAGTTTTGTCTATAAATGTGATGTTACTTTCAAATGAATTTTGGTATTAATTCCAACGTTACCTTTCCTCATTCCGCCCCTTATGAAGATTTTGGTTGTTTGTTTTCGTTTCGATCTGTTCCAAAAGACAAAGTCTATCTTTATCAGCTGGTTTCTCTTGATGGTAGTCGCTGTCAAATGATGGAAAACATGGGGTGGCGTTTGTTCGATGTATAAGAGAAAGTTGATCCAATCCACATGGTGTGCAAGTGGAAGAAGGAGTGATGCACCTGTAATGGTCAAGGCAAGTTGACTAGTGTGTGAACATTTAAATTCATTTGAATTATTAGGTGGGCAAATTCTTAATACTATGCAATGAACGTTCTTCCAATGCTAATGACATGTGAAACGTGAAGAAGATTGCTTGTTTTGAGGGATTTTCTTTGCATAGATAGAGACTAAGCAGCTTTTTAAGCTTTGTTCAATAATTAAATTTAAATCAAAGGCTACGGAATTAGTAGTTTTTTCTATTATGCTGTAATTATAAGATATTCCACGTGCTGAGTATTTATTGGTCGAAGACTTTTGAAGAAATTTTCTTTGGGATTTTGAAGAATGAACGTCTACCATAGCGCCACAAAACAGTGTGTGCAATTGGGTCAATGCGTAATGAATTTAAACCTAAAAGGGTAAATTTAGAATTTTAAAATATTTAGGGGTATAGGTTGGAATTATTGGGGTGCAGGAATAAATAATGAAGACAAGGAAAATACTGGGCCAAAGTAGTGGCCCAATAAGAACCCGCAGAACAGTTGGTAGTTGAATCTCATTTGGGACGTTGATGATGATCGTCAATCTCTGTAAAAACAAGAATTTTGAGAAGAGTGAAAGGGAATGGGTGCGATAACGAGCGCGGTGATAGCAGTGGTGGGAGTGCTTTTGGGTTGGATCACAATAGAGATGGCGTGTAAACCTTGTCTTGAAAAGGGTCGCGAAGCCATCGATCGAAGTCTCAATCCAGATTTCGATCCCGACGACGATGAAGCCACCGCCATTCGCGCCCCACTCAATCCCACCGCCGTCGGTTCCTCCGCCGCCGTCAAATCCGTTTGAAGTTCGATGACGCTTCTCGTGTTTTCGTCTGGTATTCAATATCTGTACCCAAAGTGTTTTTTTCATCTATTTTGAGAGCAGTAAATGAAAAGACTGATTTTATATATATATATATATATATATATATATATATATATATATATGGGGTGGATCTGTGTTGTTTGTCTGATAATGAAATGGTGAGTTTGGGATATTAACTCTGTTTTATGTTGCTGAATAATAGACTGTGGATGTTGTAATTTAGCTCAAGCATGGTGGCTGGGAATGTATTTGATCGTGTAAATTGCATGCGTTTGTTAAAAGGGATTAGAATTGATGAATTGGTGAGAATTGAAATTAAATGGTGGGGTTATAAAATTATTTAATTTAATGATCATATAATGTCAGTGTAAGAAGCATATTAAAAAACAGAGTTAAATTATAGCTCTGAAACTCACCCTTTATCTCCAGCTAGCATAGATATTATTCTATGATTCAGATTGTCGAAGGTGGATGGCTAGTTATTATACTAGATATCAGATATCCTTTAAATTGTTTGAACTGAAAAAAAAATACAATAATACTGAAGTAATGTATTAAAATTCTAATTTTTAAAATTAAAATTGAATTAAATGTTTTTGAAATGGAGTTTATGAAATAAGAGTTATAGTCAAATTAGCATACTTTGTCATGATTTAAAATTATTTAAATTAATTTAACATTAAGCAATACTATATGAAAAAAAATAAAACTGTGAATTAAATTAGATAATACAAAATAAATTGTGGCATAATGAAAAAAAATGTAACTTAAAAGTGCTTTTTCAAGAGTGGGGGTTCGATTAACAATTATATCTGACAATATTTCAAAATTAAAATGATTACGTATTTTGATCATAAAACACAGTTTACAATTGGAATAACTGAATCTTAAAGGGAAATGGACATAAAGATTGGGAAATGCATATCAGAAACTCGAGAGGATTTTATAGGCAAAAAAGTATTACACCGTCGTTAATTAGAAATAATCCTTTGATGAGAAAAATAAATTAATACACGTAAAAAAATTGTATAAAAGATAACACATTGTAATTGAACAGATAATGATATAAGGAAAACTTTATACCGTCAATATATTATTATTTATTCTACAATACCTTCTAGAATCGTAATTTGATTTTCCTTATTAAGTTTTGAAGCAAACTAGCAATTAAACCTGTGTGATTTTATTGTCACCAAAAAGTAACCGAAGAATTCCAAAATAAATAGAAAATATCTGAAATCGAAAAGCAAAGACAGATATAAATCAAACATAAAAATTCAGAAAAAAAAAACCAACGGGAAAAAGAAAAAGCTGTTGATAATTATTTTCATTAATATTTTCGTGACAAAAATTATGAACAATAAATAAATTAATAAAACTGTACAAGCCATGCGAGCAAATAATTGGGTGTACAACAGGATTAAAATTCAATGTTGGCATCTAATTATATTTAAACTTCTTTTTTTTTATTTTCAATTCTTAAACTTGTAGAGCAACGAATGATGAATGAATGTTAGAGGTGTAAGGAAAAAAAGCAATGTGGCACACCTCAGTGAATGAATGAGCAATTGTTTTGAATTTCTGTATCATTTTCCTGGAAGAATTTTGAATTTTGATCTAAATGAAAAGAAATTCAAAGGGTAGAATATGCTTTACAATTAAAGTACAGTTGTCCATAAATGAAGGGAAAGAAAAATAGAGGAGTGGGGAGAATCCGTTGTTACTGTACATAAATGACAAGGGAGTAAACATAGAGCTTTACCCACGTCATTAAACAAAAGAAACTTTAAAATGTGAAATGAAGTAAAATAAACTATGCCAGATAATTGTATATTTGAGGGTTGTTCTTGTCCCTCTCAAGATACTCCCTGTCAATCAGGCTTTCGATCCTTTTCTTCAAGTCCGCTGGTTTTATTGGAAATTTCAGCTGCTCACAGAAAAATAAATACTTCCTCAAATCAGTATTAATTATAAAAATCAGGTATAAAACAGTCAACAACAAAAAATGATCACCAGCACACAACATAAGAAAGATATTTTACAATTTATCAGTAATTAATCACTGACGGAATTAACACTTATAAGAACAAATTAAACAATAATGAAATAATTTTTCCATAATTAGTTTCTTCCAATTTTTTTTTAATTTATTCATAAAGTAGCTTTAACTTGTGAACTGACTTATTTCATTTTTATTTGTTTATGGAAAAAAAATATATATTTGAACCGATCTTTAGCCTAGAATAAGAGCATAGCATAGCATCGTAAGACCAGGACCTACTAATGGGAATTCACATACTCCACTTGAATTAAATAACCGAAAGGTAATGTTGTCACCTGTTGGAAGAGTTCGGTAATAAGAAGGGTATGACTAAGCACTTTCCTAGTCTTCATTATCCTCACAATAGCAGCATCAACCTGCAGTGAACCGTGCCAGTAATGAAAATATGTTACATCGTAATTATCATTACATGTCTAGTACATAGGCATTAGCAACACCTAGGTAGCTTGGATAACATTGATTGTCTACTATGCCCAAACAAGGTATCTTCCTTCGACAGTCAGTAATATTAGATATACGACTTTCAATATCTAAATTATCATTTCCCAATTTTGTGAACATAACCAAAAATCAAATATTATATTTAATCACAAACTTCATGACTTTTAAGGATATAAAAAAAATTAAAAACCTTAACATCTTTTCTCATTAAAAAAGGTTATGCTTCAGAGGTTTAATATTCATTCAAAGTGTAGACATGGCCATTCGTGAAAATATCTAGTATGACCACGCATGCGAGTTTCTTATTGATTTAAGGCCGTCATATTCCTTAGTGCATTAGTGTCCTGTAGTCTGAGCAAAGTATGGAGGGCTTTTGAGAAAAGAAATTGACCTGATACTGACGGTCTTGGAAAACTCTTTCAGTGGTGCTTGTGTTCTCCTCGACTGTCTCCTTCAACTGAATTGCATTCACCTGCACTCCCCAAGACCATATTAGTTAGGAAAATAATTTCATAATCATTAGTTAGAGGTAAATGACAATTTGAGATTCACTTAATCTGATCCCTAATTAATTCTCCCAAGTATTGGGTATGGTACCTTTATACGGTACAGAGGAGCTGTAAATATGTCATTAAAAACAAATGAGTCATCATCCTCCACATCTCTACCCTTTGGCAACTGTTGCATGTTCAACAAAAGGAACCAAAATTAGAAATTAAAAAGAACCTACAACTGTAAGAACAAAATCATACAATGGTTGTTCTGCAAATTATTACAAACGCACCTTTTGTAGGACACGAACTTTTCCACAGGCAAGTGATTGCAGAGTCCTTCTCAGTTCTTTGTCCTCAATACCAGTAGAGTCCTTGATATCTTGAAAACTTAGTTTCTCAGCATCATTGAATAACATCAGCACAACAGTCTGAAGCACAAGCAGACATACAGAATTAATAACAGAAAAATGCGTGCAACACAAGATAGACTTCTATAAAAATGAAAACATAAAATAAAATAACGGTTTTCAAGAGGCCAACCTGAAATAGGGAGACAGCCAGCTCCTTTTTCCCTTTAGGAAACTCAGCCTTTAATACACAGTGACCTAATGAATTTTGCCACATCAGACGCCTTCCACTGTACTTGCTTAGATAGAATTCTTTGAAAATATCCTGAAGAGAGAATAATGGAAAGAAGAGGACCGTGTCAAGGAAGTCACTTAAAGTATCAAGAACACCAACAGTTAAAAAGAACATTTATGGTGTGTGCTGAACCTGGTAAACGTTCAATTCATGAGGAAGTCTAACATCCATGGGTGGATATGTTGGCCAGTACCTAAACCCATCCAATAATTCCAATTAGATTCAATGAAAAAACAGCGTAAAAATTATCAATTAAAAAGAAAGGGAAAACGCAGTTTACCCAGTTGTCAAGACATGAACACTCATTTCAATCCCTGATGGGAGTTTTGTCCTAGCCTGAGATGACTGTTTGAAGGACTCATTTATTTCTTTAGACAATTCAATGTCCTGAATCAGAAAATAAAAAACGTTATAAAAATCAAGGGAGAGTAAAGCTATATTAATGCATGAAGTTTGTGAGATCATCGTAAAGTAGTTGTACAAAAACTATATGATCACTGGTAATAATTAGCTTTTAATGTTGAAGATGCAGGATTGTTCAGATTCATGTATCAGTTATAATTTTTTATATTCGTAAAGATTTTAATTTTGAACAACTCTAGAATGTGCATTAATATACAATGTGCGGGATGCTTCTTTATTCGAGCATTTCACCACTATCTTAACTTTGTAACACTGCAGGTTCGATCCTGCTCAATTTCCTAGAGCTCGGCAATGCCACAATGGATACTCATCCAAGTCCTGAAGGCCCGATTGTCCACTATAAGCCACTGGTTCAAGCTTTTTGTACTGTTTACACCTCTATTATGTTACTGGTTGTTGTGCCTCCTCTGGTTAGAAGAAGAAATCTATATGTAGCAGCCTCTTGGGTTTCTAGCTCAAAGAGAGTCCAGCTTGGTTTGTATGTGTTTGTTTGATTGTCTATGTTGATGATAATCATTCCAGGAGATTATTTTGCAATAATTTCTCAATTGAAAGTTGCTTTGTCTAATCACTTCCAAACAAGAGATCTTGGCAATCTAAATCACCTTCTTGGTATTGAAGTTACTCAATCAAAGAATGGGATAGAAATTTCCTAAAGAGTGTGCAGTAGACATTTTGAAGGAAACATGAGTACGTTAGATATAGACCCATTGTAGTCCCACAGATCTTGATAAAAGTTGTTACCCAAACAAAGAGAACCACATTTAGATCCAAAAAAAAAAAATTCTTTTGTAGTTGAAAAACTCATTTATCTTATAACTATTAGACCTGAAATTCCTTTTGTAGTTGTAGAGAATCAATTTATGCAATCCCCAGGATGAAGTGGATTGTATTCTCAGGTACATAAAAAAGGTTACTTCACAGGGAATGTTAGATGAAGATAACTGGGTACTGTAGTGCAGATTGGACATGGTCTTACAGGATTATTGATATACACTCTACTATGGGGTACTGTGTCCATTGGTGGATATTCTCTCACAGGAAAGTTAAACAAAAATGTTGCTTGATCTAGCCCATAATATAGAGCTAGGCTAGTTAAAAGCAGACTTGCTTGGACTACTTTCAAAGTTGAAGTTTTATAACATTCAACAGATGAATTTGTATTACGATAATCAGGCAGCCCTTCACATTACATCTAATCCACTATCTCACAAAAAGGACCAAACATAGCAATTAACTGTTACTAACTTCATGAGAAGATTCTTCCCAAAGAAATCATTACTAAGTCTTAAAAATAAAATTATCAACTTGCAGATATCACAACAAAACCTCTTAAGGGCCCAGATCTAGTATACATGAAGTTATACTTACAGGCCCAAATTCATTCCAACTACCATGCCTCATGGATTGGAAGCAACTTAGCTATTAACTTTAATGTTCAGGATACATGAATGTTCAGATTCATGTATAAGTTAGAGGTTTTTCATCTACTGCTCATTAATATTCTTAGTCGTAATTAGCTCTAGAATGTTTATATAAATACATAATCTGCCAAGTGTTTCGTTACTCATAGCATTTTACTAATATCATAGTATGCAACTAAACCCAAGCACACAATCTAATATATGAACTTTCATAAAGAAAGATATTATATCTTTGTGCTATGCATGCTGCAAATGCCTATATGACAGAATGAAATCCAAAAAATAATCTATGCATACTATTTCAACGGCATAGATTTTATACATGCAAAAGTACAGATTGCGAGAAGAGTAATTTTCTGAACCTTTTTGAGTGTCAAATATTGTTTATTGCCTTTTCAAATTAGAATTACGATAAATTTAATAAGCAATAGGATTTAGTTGAATGATGTGAATAGTTTCCATGGATACTCACAAGTTTATGCACATGTTTTTATAAACTAAATTCTAGATAAAAAGGCAATAACAAATTATAATTGATCCTATATCAAAATAACTAGGAAAGCTTAAACCACGGTCCTCTAATTACAGAAACTAGGAAAGCTAAACATTATAATAAATCATCTAATGCTCAAGAAGACAAATAATAAGGCACCAGTCGTTTATAATCAAGAATATCAAAGTTTACTATATATATATATATATATATATATATATATATATATATATATATATATATATATATATTCTCTTATTAGGAAGGTTTTTATTTATTCTTGCATCCTATCTTCATTATCAGAAGATGACAAATTCCTTCTACTAATTATATTGATTCCGTTGTCTCAATATAAATAAAGCACTCATTGTCTCATAAACACACGGTTTCAGCTCAATGTCTCTTTTTTTTCCTATAGTTTAACAATAATCAACAATTTTGATAACATTAAAAAGGAATTTCCAAGTTCTCAATGTAACCAAATAAATCCTAACCACATTCAAATTCTCAATGAACCTTTTAGCCAAATAGAGATAAAGGGAAAAAATGAGGTCTAATTCAAAGATGTGTACCTTAAACATCCCTTCTAGTTTGTTAGTGAACTGGCTGCCACACTCGGTCTTCAACTGTATTAACAAAAGAAAACGGTTGATATTACTAAAACTTGTATGAGAAACCATTTGACTATTTCAGAAATTAAAAAAGAAAGAAAATCCCTAACCTTGGAGATCATAGATTTCTCAGCATCAATAGAAGCACTCTTTCCTAACAGTAGTCTTTTAGCAAGATCTTTCTTATAAAATGCCTCAAACACATCCTTGCCCTTTAAAAACAAAATGCCAAGTAATCTTGCCAATATCAGTATGGAAGAGAAAGATCAATACAGGTGTATGATAGCATGATGGCCACAAACAAAAGAATACAGCGAATAATGTGTAATTGTTAGCTACTACACCAATGAAACATCAAATATACCTGTATGAACCTGAATAAAACCAGGACTTTATCAAGTGTGCCCTCTAACTCTTCTTCTGAAGTTCCCTTGTTACCTGCACGAAGTTTTTCATCCAAAAACTTGGCAATCAACTCTGCAGGCCGGTTCTGGCGAGGGAAAAAAATAGGAAAGAGTTAGTTGATTGCAAATCACACGTAAAAGAAATCCCACACAAGAGTAAAAAATAAAGACCTAACCCTAAAAGCGGAAAGCACATCTACACAAGCCCTCTAATGGAAAAAAGATAATATGATTAATCAACAGCTTCCACAAATGTAAATCACACGTAAAATAAATCCCACACAAATGTAAAAAATAAAAACCTAAGCCTAAAAGTGGAAAGCACATTTTCACAAGCCCTCTAATGGACAAAAGATAGTATGGTTAATCAATAGCTTGCACCGATACTCAATCACCAGAATGGGAATGGTCAAAAATGGAATTTTGAAGTTTATATCACGAGGTAAAAGATATGCCAAGCCTTTTGAGCTAGCAGCAGGGTGAGAAACAAATAACACAATGAATTTGCTTAGCATTATATATGTAATATTCAAGGAATTAATACAGTAATAATGGTTTCCTATGCTGTAGTGGTTTTACATGACTATGAAAAGCATTATGTACATGAATGTTACACTAAAAGCCATTAGTTATAGAATTATAAATATACAGTATGATCTATGCTATGAAATAGCACTCTCCTAAGAAATTGTATAGGATAAAATAATGGGAAGACATGCTTTATTCAATGCCGGTGTTCTTTATTTACTTTTGCTGTTTCCTCAGAAAATGGTAAGCTAGCAAAGACAATGAAGAGTTCTCATCGTTGGTCTTTCTGCTAACACCCCCACCAACCAGGGCCAAGGGCTAGATTGACATGAGCCCTGGGGGCACTTAATTTAGGCACTTATGCCACCTCATCTTTTTCTAGGAGATCCGTACAAGTCACGTTTCATCTCTTTCCTGAGACAGTACACTGAAATGTTACGGATTCATAGACCTAACATACCTCTCTCTATCTTGGTATGTTTCATCCAATATACAGTTCAGAAAATGAAAAACAATCAGAGAATACAAGTCCAAACAAACCACCCATTTGGAGAGAGTTTAATCCAGGAGGTGAGCATAGAGTGCAACAACTACCACGCATGAGGCAGTTGTTGTAAGAAGTGTGGCAGTTTTACAGACAGAATTTTCATAATGTAGAGTGCAATAACTAATGTCAGGCAATTATGCCAGGATTTTAGGATGGTGTAGAGAGAAGAAGCAGGGAATCAGATTTGTTGTGTATGGTATTCTGAAATTTAGGATGGAAGTCACTTGTAATGTATGGCATTCTGTAGGAGATTTATGCTCTGGATGAGCCTTGGCCCAATATTTACTAAATAAGGTCTATGGAGGAAATTTAGCACCCTGTTTGGGATTATTATGTAACAGTGTGTAGGGTATGTACTGTCCCCTTGAGTATATTATTATGCTAAACTCAAAAGGCTTTAGCAGAAAAAGAAGTGTTTCTATACCATTGTGCACTTTACAGCAATTCTGTCAGTTGGTTGGAGTCGAATGACATATATGAGAGGATATTTTAACGTTATAGCTACACAATAGGCTTTTCTCTTAGCATTGAATCCTTTATCCTGGGACGTGGTGGCAGTAGAGAAGGTATTTCAATTCATTCATGTGGAAATCATGTATGGGATTGATCAAGGTTACTACACCCATATACACCAATCCCAGATAAGAGTTGGAGAAAGGTCTCTGAGAAAGGGTGAAGAGCATCTCAGTAAAAACAAGGAAGGCTTGGACGGTGGCCGAAAACCTAAAATAAATATTATGGCTGATGAATCAGGCAAGGGGTGAGGAATAATATTTGTAGAAAGAAATCAATTTATAAGGGAAAGCTTATAGAGCAGTGGGCTTAGACCATGGGGACCCCAGATACATGCAGCAGCAGCACCCCTCTAGATTTGGAAAGACTTCATGAAAGACTAAGGGGGTTCATTCTGTTGGAATTTCAATAGATATTTTACATAAAATAAAAAGTAATGTATTTAAAAGATTTTGTAAGAATGTACTGCACTTTTGAAGATTTTTTTATAATACTTTTATGATTACGATTTTGTAATTTTTTATTCTGAAAGATTTATAAAATATGAATGCATCAATAACTATCATCTTATTTCAAAAAATTATGGGAATCAAAGTGCATTTCAGTGCTAGGATAAAGAAAAAATTTTAAAGACCCATTAAGTCAGACAACAAAATAATGTATAACAGTCAAATAAGAAAAGAAAGACCCTATTTTGATTGATTAAAAAATTATATATACTAATAATGGCAGTAACCCAGAAATTAATTGTAGGAACCAATAATAATAGAAAACAATTACTTGGATGTAGAAAAAACATATAAAACCGACAGAGAACTCTACAATTGTTGTCACTATTGAAATTGACAAAAGTCTGAATAAGAGTAGAAAGTCTCATATTTGGATGAGATTGTTTCAGACGAATGGTATTTATATGTACAAATAAAAGTCACACAAAATTCATAATAATCCAATCAAGAAAATAATACATTGAAATTTGTATGATTTTGAATTCCCGATGATTATATTTTAGTCGTTTAAAATATTAATTGAACACCACCAGAATCTGTTGCCCTCTAAAACAATCCTAATACTCTTTGATTGAACACCGTGCGATTTTTTTTAATGTTCAAAAATCTTTAACATAAAGTATTTTAAAATATTTTGAAATCCCAACAGAATACAATCCCCTAATGTAGAGTAGGGAGATTTCATGAGTTTCTTCTCATGGTTCAGTTCTCATACCACAAACCTATCATGTGCACGATGGGTATAGATTATTATAGAAGACCATATACAAACCTCTTTCAATTTGAGAGGGCTAGGGGAGTCAATGGGTACATAAGACATGCATAGACAGTTGAGAAAGCTTGGGGAGCCAATGGAGGAATTGATGACAAACTGAGGAACATGGATATGAGGACGACCCAAGGTTAGTGGGCGAATTAAGAGGAAACAGGCTAACCTGAACACAACGAACCTATTCCATGACTTGGTATTATCACATCAAAGCTATTGCCCTGGTGGCAAAGAAATCCTAATGTTCAGTGATGATGCAAAGGAGGTATGACAAGAGCTGGAGAATTTGTAAAGGCAATAGCTCACTAGAAATTCAATGGATAATGTGCAAAGAAATTGGAATGCCTTGTAACTCCTTCAAGCATTTAGTTTGGATCTTTTCTTACAGGGGAATTTCTCTTTCTCATTCCACTCAACCAATGACTCTACTTTCTCCGATATTTTCTCTTTTTAGGACGATGTATACTAAGCACTGATATACATGTTCTCCTTCCTATTAATGTATTTTTTTCGTTGAAAAGTATATTAAAGTCACTGTTACACTGCTATAACATGTAGGAAAGAAGGAAAGGAATTCAATGGCCTGAAGAAGATAATAGCTTTATTGATCTTTCCCGTAATGGCATCTATCATTAGCAGACTCCGGCTTTATAACGCTATAGAATGTATACTTGAGGCCTCCTTCTAAAACCATTACCTTACAGTTTGAAGATTCTGTTATTGAAGACAGTGTAAGCTGTAAAGCTACAAACTTGGAAGTTTGAACAAAAAAATAAAACAGCTTTGAATAATTTTAAAAAACTCAAAAATCAAGTAATTCAACTATCTTTTACAGACATTATGTTTGCACGAATAGGATTGCCAGTCACGTCGACATAATCATATAGTGGATAAGAATTCTTATTTATGCCCATATTAGGTTGAGATATTTCCAGAAGACTGGTTGGGGCTTTCTATGTTGGGATATTTATTAAACGGAAACTAACACAACAAAATGAGAAGTACCTGACGAAGATTGATGAGGTGCTCAAATGAATCTTTGATGGTGTTACAGAATGCTTCATTCTTGGAAAAGCTTTCTTCCCATGTTGTGTCAAGAGAAGCCTTAAATTCCAAAAGGGATGAAACCATATCTTTATCCTTCTCCTCATCCAAAACAATGCCCTGACCAGTTCTCCTGATGTATGAACTAATTGCCTGCCTCAATGACTCAAGGGCATTGACCCTTAAAAAGAGTGAATACATTCTCTGAAGGTCTTCGATACGATTCCCATCCATAAGCATTGCAAAGCCCTATTACAACACAAATAAAACTTTGAGCAATGAAAAACAAAACAAAAAGTACCAGCTCAAAATCTAGTAGTTGACGTGATCAAAACCTTATCAAGGATGGCAGGTATATGACGTTCAAGAAGTTGTTTTTCTGCTGTTGCTATCAATGGCTTCCTAGTACTTGCATCCAAGTAGATCAAGCATCTTTCATGCTCTTCTTGCAATCTTATCTGCAAAAGGAGCACCCAAAAACATCTGTGCAGTAAGTACACAACATGGACAAGGGAAGAATTGACAAAGAAAGATAACTTTTATTAGCAGATAATACTCTGATGTTGAACGACATAATCCATTTATTAAATAATTACGTAAATAACAAAATCCAATAAAATAATACAATGGGCTATGGAAAAGAAAACACCTCCACATGCTTCAAATAATCTGGAACATCTGATTGCTGCATGTATTTCACACCTTCAGCAGCATAAAATTCAGATGTGCATTCAAGGAATGGCTTCTCAAAGCTTTCCGCATAAATTCCCAGAGCAGTAAACATCTTCAAAAGATGGTTTAGAAGGGTTCTATCCACCGCTTCACCTTTTCTGAGAAGACAAGAAAAAATATGTAACACATGACAAAAGGATCTTACAGCTAACTTTCCTAAACTGAATGAGAAAGTATAATTATAATAAGAAAATGACGCCTCATATTTATGCAATGAATCTAATATGCTAAAAAAACCCAACCGTTTGCACACTACTTATACAAAAAGTTGCAACAGATTTAAATAAAATAAATAACAGTTGACATTCCAATACATTCTGATCAGATGCCCAGTTGAAGTGATTACATAGGTCAGTATTTGTTGGTCATCAAAAAATGTCTTATGTGGTAATCCAAGAATACACAAACTCATCCATAACAACTAAGGATCTTATTTTAACCCCTCTAGATGTCTCCAATCCTAACCGTTCATGAGCTTATGTGAATAAAAAGCAGCCATCGTCGGTCACTTTGCTAACCTGAAAATTAAATGCCCACTCCCCTGAAACTATATGCAAGTTTGAATATCCAATCCCACAAGCAAAACATGCCCGATTAATATTCCTCCTCATTAATCAAAAGCAAAATTCTTAGAAAGATAACGGCAGAGGAATGTGTTTAGTCCTGAATTTAAATAGAAATCAAATTAGTAATTGCAGTTTGGAAAATGATATTTTGTAATCAATGATATCACTATTGGCAAATATATTCAGCATGTATGCATTTCATTGAATACAACAAGTTAAAGGAATGGAGGCACAAAGATTAAAACATAAAATAAAACCAAAGAGAAGAGCCAAGAAACTCTCCATCGCAGCTCACCCTTGCTTACATGGAGAGAAGTATGGATCATTTAAACAGGCAGCATGTATATGACAGATTTCCAGTCTTTACAAATATTGAGATTGCAAAAAAGGACTAACCTTTCACTTTCAATCATTCGAAGAAGACCAGTAACAGTTTTGTGTTCTACTTCAGGAGACAATGAAAGATGTTTGCGGAAAAGTTGTAAGCCCATGTCCCATAATGACCGTACATTTGCCGTTTGTTTCACATAGGTCCTGTCCAGATACAAGGCTATACCACGAATCATCAACATTTGATCACAAAGATCCTGCCAACATCTCTCAACTAAAGAGAGGAAAACAACTAAATCTGGGCTCTGGCCAACCAAAGACTGCAACGCTGCAGATATATGTGATTCACACTCCTTCTCTATTCGTTGATAAAGATTTCCACCCATTTTATAAAGGCAGAGATCATTCACAGCCTACAGAGATTATAAGTTCACATGAAATACCAATCTGCTAGTCAATGATAAATATTCACATGTCTAAATCAACAGTGATAGCAATAATAATGACAATAACTCAAGAAATTCCATTATTACCTGATAAAGCTTCTCCAAGTCACAGGAGTTAGGTTGCTTCAAAAATATAGCACAAATGGCAGACTTTAGTTTTGCCCATGTATCCTCCTCAAAATTTGTGGGCAGTGTTGGCTTAGCTACAAAGGAAAAACAGAAAAGATGAAATAGAAATTTAGAAGCCATCCTATTCATAAGCTAAAAATTAGATATTATTTATATATGCTACAACGTCAATGGATTTTCAACAGAAGAGAATGAAGATAGAAATAAAGGCTAAATAGGAAAAACAAACACACGGCACAGCCATGTTTAACAGGTCTATTCAACATAATCACAGGACAGACACGAGGAACTTTGAGTTTCAGACACGGAATCTAGAGAAATGTAACCAAAAGGGAACTCAAAATTAAATAAATAACATCATACAAGAGGTGAGTTCGTAACGTAACCTACAATCATTATCTTGGAAATGTCAGCACAATATCGTGCCAATAAAACTCAAAACCACTAGGACATGTCAGAAAAAGACAATGGATATCATCAACATATATTAGCTCGATCCAGACTCTCGTAATTTCTTACAGCAGAGCTTTACCAGCAGCATCTATATAACAGTATTATCACGTATAGAATTGATTAAAGTTCCCTTGTTTAACTTCTTGCAAAGCTGAAGTGCATAAGTTAAGTTCAGCTTCCTATCTCCTACCAGGATAAGTGTTTACCGAGAAATTCATCGGCACTAAGACCATTATCATCTTACAACAAGAACCTGCTTTTACTTCTCCTAGGGGTTTGAAACTCAGACTCGCTAAGTTACTAATCTCTGGCACTATAGACTCGCTAAGTTAGTAGAAAGCAGGAGGAAGCTAAATAGAGGCAGAAATGAAAGCTGGAACAGAACGAATGTAGAATCTTGGGAAGCAGTTTGGGAACAATTACTGATCAGAAGCAACAATTAAAGTGCAAAAACCTAAAATTAAGTAACAGAAATGAGCGAGGCAAAATTGAAAAGAGGGAAAGGGCGTTATGGGGGAATAGGAGGGAAAGAGAGAGAAACCCTCGAGATAAGAGGGGAAGGGTTAAAAGCGAAGTAGAATGAATCGGAAGGGACCTTTGTGGAGCTTGATGAGGAGCTTCTTGGCGGGTTGGGGCGGGGTGGCTTTCTTGCGGGAAAGATTGGCGGCGCGGGCATTGGGGAGATCGTCGTCGAGAGGCATGGAGGAAGAGTCCAAAACGGCGTCGTCGGAGGGGGCGCGTAGGAGGAGCGACTTGGCCTTTTTCATAGGGGGTGGCGGCGACGGGGAGGAACCAGCGGTGCCCGACCGTTTGGTGGGGAGAGACATCAAATGGAGAAAGAGGAAGAGAGAAGGGAGAGTGATCAACACACCATTGTGTTTGTTTGGCTTTGTGTTGTCACCCAAACTATAGAGAAGAGGAAGAAAAAAAAGAAAATAAACAAATATGATTATCAAAATGGGTTAAAACTCGAGAGCAAGTCGGTCCTAGTTCGTGATGAATTAAATAAATATGTAAATTTTAATATGGATTAAGAGTGAACTTGATCTATTAATAATTCAATTTCTACTGGGTGAATTGGTTTAGTTCACCCATTCATAAAAAAAACTTATTTCATTTTTAATTTTAATTCAAAACACAAACAAATTTTTATTTTTTGAAATTTTAGAATAAAATAGTTTACCTAATTCATTTATTTTTATTTTTATTTTTATTTTTTATTTTTATTAAACATTTTCATTTGATATGGTAAGTTATAATTTAAATTTTATTTAGAATTATAATTTAATTTTTAGAATCAATGATTTATTTATTATCTAGAAAATACAAAATTTTAAATGAATTTAAATTTTGGGTTAAATATGTTTTTAGTCCCTAAACTATTGGTCGTTTCTGGTTTTCGTCCCTCTTACAAAGTAAGGTACAATTTGGTCCTCATTCTTCTCGAAACGTTCGTTTTAGTCCTCCAAAACTAAACACTGTTTAAAAATTTTCCGAGGACTAAAATGAAGAGACCAAATTGTACCTTACTTTAAAAGAGGACGAAAACCAGAAACGGCCAATAGTTTAGGGACTAAAAACATATTTAACCCTTAAATTTTTTTATATTTTAGTTATATATTAAAAAACATTAAATTAAAGAAAAATAAATGAATTTTTAATTAAATAAGCACCAAACTAGAGACTGCCCCTTCCCATGCCATAGGTTATCCCAACGCATATCTTTTTTTTATTAGGTCATATTTTAATTATTTATTTTTATTGTCCTTTTTTAAATATTTAACTATTATTTAGAGAACAAAATTAAAATTAATGTTTTAATAATATGGAATTTAGAAGATTTAAATAAACGGTTTTCTTTAAAATGATGTAGAAAAAAAATTTGTAAAAACTAACATAAATGGATTTTCAGAGCAAATTTTAAGATATTTTTTTGGAAGAGAAATGATAGTGACATGTTTTTGGAATATATGTTTGTTATGGGCCAAATTTATTAGGAGTTACACGTGTTTAGGATTCTTGTTTGTTATTTAATAAATCTTGTTTTATAATAGGTTAAAATGTTAACTAGTAATTGAAAAAGAGTTATGTTTGATCCTTCTTATTATAATTATAAAAAATTGGTTGGAAATTTGGTTCTTTTATTTTTTAAGAGTGGAAGGGATTAATCCTAATTACTTCTTTTCAGTTCCCATTATTAAAAAATACTATAAAGGTATTTTTCTTATTTTTTTTAAGAATAGAATAACGAAAATTGTTTAGAAAATATTAATTTTGAAAATATAAATATATGGTTAGATATTTATTTTTAGGATACTTGGGTAACACTAAATATTACGTGAAACATTAACTTATAATAACATTAAATATCATTCTTAAAAATATAAAAAAATTAGAAATAAGAATTAAAAATTTTAAATTTATTTTTTAGCTTTTTAATAAAAGCTAGGTGAAAGTCTCATTAATATATATATATATATATATATATATATATATATATATATAATGTAAAAGTAATTAAAAACAAATGTTTAGAGTTTTTAAGAAAAACTTTTACACACATTCAAACTTCCAAAAGAATTTTAACATGTGTTAATATATTATGATGAGCATTAAAATCAAAATAACGTATTTTTCAAAAAATATTAATATGCATATTATAAAAGATTTAAAACAGATTAAATATTATCTAAAAGGACACTATTTCAAACACAATTTTCATACTAAAAAGTTTTGTGATAGGATTTTTTCTAGGTGATATAGTAATTATACCAAATATCATGTAAAAAACATTAATTTAAATCCATAGTATTCAAACCTGAATAAGAAGACTAAGAAATTTTGTATAACTTAAAATTTGTACACCTAATTTTGTACGATAATAAATTATGTAATGTTAATTTTTTGTACAAAAATTATTATGTTAAGTAACAAAGAAAATAAATTATTTTTTCAAAATATGAAATTAATTATTTAAGAAACCCTAAACTATATTTACTTAAATAACAACCCTCACCATAAGACAATAACCTTTCACACATAATATGAACAATAATGATAGTATGTTCTATTTGTCTCATTCCAATGAATGAGTACATTTCCTACCAAATATGGACATGAAAGAAGGAGAGAATGAGTTTATGAAAACTATATTAGTTATCCCAATAATAATAGGTGGTATAATAATAATTAAACCATATGTTCTTCTTCAAGAGAATATTTGATCATCAATTAACTCCTGACCATCCAGAAAAAGATGTTATAGTTCATGCAGATACACCCTCTGCACTTTGATAAAAGAGTTCATTAGAAAAATTATTAAAAAAATTATTGTAGGAATTACTATGCTATATTTCTCTCACTTCCATGAATGAGTATATATTATACTCAATTATGAATGACAAAGAAAGAGAGGAAGAAAATTGATTTATAAAAAATAATAATAATTAGTATCAATGATAGGATTTTTCATGTGTGATATAACAGTAATTATACTAAATATCATGTAAAAAACATTAATTTAAACACATAATTTTCATATGACAATTGAAAGACTAAAAAGTTTTGTATAACTTCAAATTTGTAGATTACAATTTTTGTATGACATTAAATTTTGTAACCTTAAATTTTTGTACAAAAATTATGTTTTAGGTAACTAAGAATATAAATGACTTGGACAATTACCTTCCACGGACAATAGAACAACAATGATAGTATTTTTTATTTGTCTTATTCCAATGAGTGAATGAGTACATATAGTACGAAATTAAGGATGAGGGAGAGGGAGATAATGAATTTAGTAAAACTAATATTAGTTATCCTAATATAACTATACCAAAAATGCAAAGATGGTGTTGTGGCTCATGTTGGAGCACAAGTGGCACAACATCAACCATTGAAAATGCACTTGATAAAAAAATTCATTAAAAAAATTATTCTAGGAATTACTATACAAAAAATAAAACAATAGAAAATGACACATATGGCAGACAAATAATAGTGGTGTACAAAAAACTAAAATCAAAATAAGATAAAATTTTATAAGAAAATTATTATACAAATGGAGATAAATGAGAGACCTATGAGATGAAAAATATTTTTATTATTTATTTATTTACTCGGATAAAATTGGGTGTTATTGGTAATTCTTTTGATGAAAGAGTTTAATAGAAAATTGATTCTATGAATCATTCTGAAAGGCACTAAAAAATAAGAGTGCAATTATCTTTCGTTTATAATGGTTGGGATAAACTTAAATTTTAGGATTTTATTAATAAGTTTGTTTAAATATTATTTTATTAGTTTTTGGATCTAATAATATTTAATTTGATTTGATAGAGATAAAATAGGGATACGTAACTATGATTTTCGTTTATCTAGGTACAATATTATATTTACGATAGATTAACCAGATTTTATTTTTAGGATAGTTGATATTTTATTTTTAGATTTTATTTTTATTTTCGTAATATTGTAAGTGTCACGGCTATTTAAAGTCTTCCATTATCAATTAATAATAAGACTCAATTTTAGGAAAATATATGAGTGTGTGTATCGTGACATTTTCTTAACAATAATAGAATAAAACACAAAACTCCCTTATAAACTGAGATGGATCTTCTATCCTTCCTTGTCATCCAACATCAAACTTGCTCTTTTCATTAACAATTAGGTTCTTTACTTTCTTCATGACTAATATCTCCTTTGCTTCAGTCGTCTTCGAAGTAACCTTCACCCATTTCTTATTGATCTTGGTTGACTTCTTACTATCCGGAATCATCTCTTCATATTCATGTTTTCTTTTTGTTAATATCTTTTCCATTTCGACGACTGAGCATATGACTTGAATTCCTAATCTCTAATCGCAGCCTGTTGCGAAACATCACATCTCCTCCTTCTCAAGAATGACATTGTTGGTTTTTCATGTAATCGAAACACACTTTTCAACAAATGGTGTTGTTGTCGGGATCAAAGACGGATCATCTTGGAAATCATATTTATTGTGTTGTACATAATGTCAACACCAAATTTTGTCCGGGTTGAAAAAATGTGTTTTTATGGTTTTTTATTTTATTTTTATTTACCTTTTTGTTTTATTCTATTTTTATGTATTTAGTTTTTTGCTTTTAATTTTTTTCTATTTTATTTCTTATTTTCAATTTGTTTTAATAGTGTTAATTAATCAAAATAATTAAAAAATTGAAAAATAAAATTAAAATTAAAAATAAAGTAAAAAATAAATAAAATAAAATTGGAAAAAGTAAAAAAATAGAAAAAAGGGAGAAAACGTGGGAAATGGGATAGGAGACGTGTCTCAGCAGAGGAGACCAGGTGGTTACAAGGGAATATTTTCAAGATTTTGGAGGGGGGATTTGGTTGGATCAGAGAGAGAGAAAAAAAGAAAAAGGGCACACGAGGACGATCATTGGGGAATCATCATTCAGACTCACCATTGGCACAGGCAGAGAAGACGAAAAGCTAGAGAAAGTCACCGATATTTCGTAGCTAGGCAGCAGCCTTAGAGCTCCGAGAGGTAAGCTTCTTGCTCCCTGTGTGGTCATGATGCTTATTCCATTTGTTTATGCTATGGTAGTCTGCTATATTCCCTGTTTTATAATCTTATAGCATTTGTTTATCTTCTTCCTCTGAGCATCCATCTTCATCTTCTTTTAACATTGAACCTCCAACTACTTCCTTCATCCATATTCACCCACTGCCACAAGACCATTAACAACCCACGGCCTCATCAATCTTCACGTCCAACACTTGATCATCTCCATTACCTTCTGTGAAAAACTCCCACCCATCATCACGGGCACTACGTAAGCTTTGTCAAAACCTCATTCCCTCATCCCTCATAAACCATCATCCTATTTGCCCACGGCCACTACCAACGCCTCACGGTCACCGCCTTATTCC